CATTGCTCGCCACTCTCCAGTGGAGCACAATAGAAAATCGCGAGAGCAACATGAAAATTTATGATGCATTTCTTTTGCTGCCCCTCCTCCGCCGCCCCCTTTTCCCTTTTTTTTTTTGCGTCCCCTGCACAGTACAGTACTCCCTCGCTTAACTCGTTTCTGTCGCGACTCAGGCTTTCAAATTATTGCAAAGCTTAAGTGAAATTTATATAATTGTAATGGAATTTATATTATATTTTTTTCCTTTGCCCCACTAAGAGTAACTGACAAATGGATGACTGCAGCCCAACGACCTCCCACTCTATGGGGAATTCCATTGTCAACGGCTCCATCTCCATCTCCATCTCGTTCCCGTTCTCGTTCCAATTCTTTTAGTTATTTTGTTTACATTTCGCCTGGCCAGATGGCAGAAAATCTGTGACACAGATTTCGTTTTATTTATTTCGATTACTTAAGCTCACGAATCATAAAAAATAGTTTGAGTGAGCCAAGGAATAAGACGGAAGTGCAGAAAGAGACAGAAATTAGCTGGAGCTTAAGCTCCGACAAATGAAAGAAATTGAAAGGATGTGAAAGGACGAAAGGAAGTCTCAACTTTCAACAGCCAACTTATTTGATTGAGAGCAGTGCAAAATTGACATTTATAGCGGAGGGAAAAAAAACAAGAAGGAAAGTGAGCTTGAGAGGTCGAATGAAGACGTCGAAAGTGAGCTTAACTGGCAGTAAATATAATTGGTTAAGAAGTACGTAAAGTCTTAACTCTGGTTTATTCAGATGGGAAACTGAAGGTGCTAAACGAAATCATTGAGACTTCAATCTATTGAAAATCAAAAATAGAGTGATTTTTAATAGTAATAATTAACAAATAAAAACTGAATTTCTAGACTAGGAGACTAACTACAGAATTCGCTCGACACATTATTTAACATGAGGACAAGCCTATAAACTTTTCGCCTGCCTGAACAATCCTCAAATGCTATACAACGGGAGTTATAGATTTACAGATAAGAAACCCAAGGGTAAAAAAAGGATACAAAGGACGATTGCGAATCAGAAGTGAGGAGTAGTCTTTCAGATGCTTTCCTTTTTTTGTTGCGGTTGTTTGTGAATGCCGGATAATAGGCAGTAGAAAAGTGTGGAAAAATGCGAGCAAATAGTTTTCCGCTTGCCGCCGCACACAATGGATTTTTGCAAGGGTGGATTAAGAGCGGCGAAGTGTTCTTTATCAATTTTATCTGTGAAATATATTTCCGAAACATTTGCCATTATATTTGCATTAGTAGCCACAGCTTCCGCTTCTTTTTTGCAGCCCTGACTATGAGATGTGGCTCAATTCCGATGCCTTGCCCTCTTTTTTTTGGTCCGTAGTCAGTGTGTTGCTGGCATTCCTACACTAGGAGAAATTACTCCTCTTATTAAGTTATTAATACGAAATGTAATGGAAGTAAATTAATATATATAAATAAGCTCTTGAATAATAAACAACCATTTGTAAAGGCCTATGGTCACACTGGGCAAGTCTGACCATATTAAATAAAATCATTTAAAACAACTTTACTACATAAAATTGCAACTATAGCCTCCTTCATATTTATTTTTCTATGTGTGAACTTGTCGTGTTGGACATTTCGACGCCAATGAATGAAAAAAGGCAAAGCCTAGGCATTCAAAGAACTATCTTTGTACACCACGCCATATAAATACAAACTTTATATATATATATTTATATATGTATATATATATGTATAGATATATGTGTGGTCTATTCCCTGGCGGAAACTGCTTATCACACATTTCCACACAGCCACGCAAAATCACACACACAAGCCGAAACCAAATACAATACAGGAATGCCGAAAAAAAGAAGAAATATACTTTAGTGCGGAAAAGGAAAAAAGGGGAGTGGACTAGTAGAGTAATAGCACAAAGAATGATGCGTAGACATGATTTCCGTGCGGTTGATTTCGCTCTCAGACTCCCTTTTTACCGGCACACTGCTTTCGTTGCAAGGCGGAAATTGTTAAATGGGAATTTCCATAAATTTCAAACAGCATGGGGTGGCAACCTCACAGATCGGTTTCACACAAGGAACTAGGGCCTCAAATAAGATTAAGATGCATGTCTCCCTAAGATACAGCACCACTTTTGCTCGGTTTTCTTGAAAATACATTAATGTTTTTCAATTTGGAGATGGTCGAAATCTTGACCCCTCTTCATGTCGGATTTTTCGAAATTTCCGAAGGTTTTCTGCATGGTGACCCAAAACTGGACTTCCAGAACCCATAACTTTGTCAATTTCAATCGGATTCCAAAAGGGCATACTTCTAAACGTTGGTAATCGCATCTTTGATGCAACTGCATTTTTATTTATTTTTCTAAGTTTTTCCAAGTTTGCGATGGTTTTCAGAATGGTGTCCCCCCAAACTGGACTTCCACAACCCATAACTTTGTCAATTTTGTAAAATATTTAAATATGTTTAGAGATTATTAGGGATTAAAAACCGCCTAAATAATTTTCCTAGATTTCTTTAAAGGTTTTTAAACCAACAATACATTCCGTTTCAATCTTGTGTTTGTATTTAAAGTGCCTTTTTTGTACTCCTCGAAATTCCTTGCACCGTTTTTTCTACTCAGGATTCTTTTTCTTTGCGCTCTTTTTTCTCATCTATTTTCTTTCTTCCCTAAGATATATACTTTTTCACCGTTTTTTCTAGAGCTCAAGTTCCACTGTTTTTAAAGGGACTTCCTGCTGCGAAACTATGCGCTTGAGGATTTAGTTTCTGGTACCTTTTTGTGCGTTATCTGCATGATTTTGCATGCCCAGGGAGAAGAGTGGCGAGCGGCGATAGGGAATCGTGGAAGGAGGCGGCTGCCTGAAGTAGCATGTAATTCATCTTATTCCCCAAAGACAACCACACCAGCGACAAAGGAGACACGGACGCTTGAGCTTACAATTCCGGCGGGTAAATTGCTCACGCAGATGGGGGTGCAGGAAAATCCGTCAGGAAAGGCAAGGGGAAACAGGAGGCGGAAAATGGGAGGCGGGAAACGGGAGACAGAAGACGGGAGACGGGAGACAGAAGACGGGAGACAGGAGACAGGAGACAGGAGACAGGAGACAGTCGAAAGCGTTGCTGTCGTCGCGTTTTGTGCGTGTCTCCATTGGGACATAAATGCCATTTGTGGAATGTGGCAGGTTCAGGCCAGGCACGCGCCTCATTACGTGCCACCCACCAACACCACCAGCACCACCAGAACCAGCACCACCTTCTCCAATCCCAATCCCAAATCTCCTTTTGACGCATAAAATGCGTAATGAATTTTAGATTTCATTTCAATGGCACACAGAAAGAAAGTTATGGCCACAGGCACTCGAGGATTTGGTTTTCCTTGGACACAACGCCTCAGCTTTTCCGCCCGGCGAAAACTTTTATTTGCCCGTTAAGAGCGTGAAGAGCAGCCGCCAAAGTGTTTAGGCCAATGGCCTGCAAATAGTTTTAGGTGATTCCCCAACTGGGTGTCGCGTAAAGTACCCTAAAAATGAAATAAGGCGGGCATCAAACGATTAGGCAAACTGAAGGAGTAATTTCATCTTTCCTGCTACTAAAATAATATTGAAATTCTTGTCAAAAACTGTTATCCGCTTATTCTTAAAAATTATTTTCATATAAGATAAAATGCTAAGCATTTCCCGATCAAAAATAATTCTAGTCAATTTTTTTGATAACTTGCAGAAACGTTGCCCAAAACTGCACTTCTGGAAGAATTAACTTCGCTAAATTTGGTCCGACTTCAAAGTAGCACACCTCTAAGTGGTGCTTGTGTAATATAATATTTTATAGAAAAATGTAGTCTAAATGTTCGCAATGTTGTGGGCAAGCAATTAAGTAAGGCAGGATTTGCATGCCAGAAACCCACTCTGTCACCTCGAATTCCGTCTGTGCCTTGCACTTGAACCCCGGCCACGCCCTATTTCGGTCTGGAAGGAAGGGGAGAACTTAACTATTCAAACCGCATTGAGCATAATTTTTCATTCAGGGTCGTTGGCTGGGGCTCACTTCGCATTTCGGAGGCTGCGGCTTCTTTTTTATTATCTGCTGCAGAACAGACAAAACCCCCTTTTTTCGACCGCAAACATAATTTTTCTTGCTTCTAATGCCAGATAAACGCAGACAAGAAGTAAAATACACGAGTCTACCACAAAAAAAAAAGTAGAAAAAATATTCACAAAAAAAAAAAAAAAAAAGAGGGAAGCCGAAAGCCAAGAAAACGAAAACGAAGCTGGCAAAAAGTTCCTTAACCCCGCAGCACAGCAGCCATCATATTATTTTCAACATTTATTTGCCATGCGTAAATAAAAAAAATATATATGTATATACATAGGAGGAGGGCGGATTTTTTGTGCAATTTTCAAAGGCAAAAGTGGTAAAGTAAAATGGAAAATGGCTTTTCCAAGCCGGCCGACCTACCGCCCATTTTCCGCCCACTCTACCAATAATAAATGCAAAACTGCAGCGGGCAAGGAGAATTGCATTTTAGGTAAACATAGAGCTCAGCAAAGGAGCTGCTGTGGGATTCGGGAAAGTGATGGCGGGAAGGGGCATGTGTTGGGTGGGAAAATGGCAAAGTGGGCGGTGGGGCCGAAAAGCTGCGAGTTAAATGGGATGGGGGCACTGCGGGGTTAAGGCGTGTCCTGGCGCTTGTCCAATTGACGTAAATCGTGCACAAGTTTTGGCAGCCAAAATGACTGCGGCTAAAGCTGGAGACGAGACAGCCAGAAAGAGAGGGGTAGATGGTGCGAAAGAGACGGTTGGAAAAGTCGAGAAAGAGAGGGAATGAAAGGGCAAGAGGTCAGCAAACTTGCTGGCTCACAGGCAGCTTCAAAATACATATTGATGCAGATATTTCGCTAGTTGCAATTGTAAGAGATGATTTTAATTAAACATCAAATTTATAAACTTCAAATTATGCGAATCCAAAATTTTCCCGAAACAATATCATATAAGCTAATGAAAATAACTTCATGTTTTGACCTTTTTTCTAATCAAATGATCTTATGTCGTAAAGTTTCCCAAAATTATTTAAATTCCGGAGTAGCCTTGTTATTTTCGCCCATGGATCAGCCGAAGGTTTCGAGTATTGATAATGAGAAGAAGCCTAGGACTTCCATAAAATCGACAACCAGGACGATTCCTGGAGCAAATGTTAATTTCACCGCGGTGCCTGCGGATAGTGATTCCGGATTTAACTCGGCGGATAGCACCGATTCCGTGGATCAAGTAGTGAGCCCGCCCGTCCTGCTTCATCTCCGATTGGCAAAACAGGAGACGAATGAGAGGCGCGTCGGCTTCCATGACGGAGTTGTCGATAACGAGCACTCGAATCGGCGCAAATCCAAGTGCTGCTGCATCTATAGAAAGCCACATCCCTTCGGCGAGAGTTCGTCCTCTACGGACGACGAATGCGAACACTGTTTTGGCCATCCCGAAGTAAGAACTCGCAATCGCCTGGAAAAGCAGCGAAGGCAAAGGCAACAATCTTGCTGCGGTTGTTGTTGTAACCATTGTGATGGTGGTCAGCAGAGAAATCGAAATAATCGGATATCTATCGAGGTGATCGCACCGGAAAGAGATAATAATCCGATGAAAGAGGAGGAAAAGTTGGTGATTAAAAATCGGAACAATTTAGAGAAGAAAGACTTTAAAAAGGATTAAAAAACAGCCTTTGAATAGCCGATTTGTGCATTTAAAACTAAAAATTAAAGTAAAGTGTAAATTGGTACCACACTCCGTTGTTTGATATACCTACACATTATATATTTAGCAAGCAAGATTTTATTTAAACGAATTTAAACAATTTATTATACGCTTAGGTGCTACCATTATATTTTAAGGTCAAGAAGTTAAAGAGCAATTAGAACTGTTTTCGAAAGTACGCTTATCGCCTGATCTTTATGGACCATGTTCTTACCTAATTAATTTTCTTGTACGGCATCTTTTGCCGTTCCTCTAGCAGTTTGTGCGGCCAAAGAAAAGCCGGCGAAAACCCGCTTAGGAAATGCTATCCTGTTCCTGTCACTCAGCGGGCAGAAAACCGCAAAAAAAACTGTCACACGCCCCGCCCTTTCGACAGTCACGCCTACCTATGCAGGGGCGTGGGGTTCTCTCCGGGGTTTCCGAGGGGGTCCCAACATGTTTACGCCCCAGAATCCCCTGCCCTCGTGTGTCTATTGATTGATTATGCGAACTGTCTGCGCGAACTTGTAACTAGATTAATGAACTTTTTGCCGTGGATGCAGTGCATCACAGATGCTTGTGGAAAGTCCCCCCCTTGCAAAACCGAACCCCCTCTCCTTCTTGTAATCCAAGCTCTATTCGAACCGAACTCCGTCCGTTCCGGTGTCGAGTGGGGGAAAAATTTAAGTTGCCAGCGAAGCGAATGTGAAACTCGATGAAGCGAACGGAAAATGGGAAATAGAAGCGCTGCTGTGCTGATGGCTTTGTGGTTGTCGCCCTGTCATCCTAATCCCTAATTCCAATTGGTATCAAATTGAAAAATCAGATGCAGATATCTCGGGGCAACTAAAAAATTTATTATTTAATTCCTCATTTAAAAATTATAAGTAGTTATAAATATACCTATATAAATACCATAATATTAATGATATTAATCCAATCTGTGTAGCTTGCAGCTTATATTATATTTTGTTTAAAAATTTCCAACATTATCTGTTTTTTAATTTCCCATTCTATAATAATAATATTACCAACTTCAGCTATTCCACGTTATTAAATTTATAGCTACAGCTACTCTTTTTATTACGGCTTTGCTCGTCTAGTTTCAATTCCCTGCTTAATCTGTGGAGAATTTTCAGTTGCCAAATGAAGCTGTGGCAGCACAGAGGCGTGGCGGTCGAGGGGGCGCTGCAGGCTCCCTGAAAAAGGGGGTTATGCAATCCCGGGCACATGGCATGACACAAATTTTGTGGGAAGAAAATATTAAAAAAAAAACCACACACAAAAAAATGGAGCGAAATATTTCTGTTTTGGTTTTTGCGCTCCTTCTGCCAAACTTTGAACCCTTATGTGTATCAGTGTGCTTGTATGTGTGTGAGTGAGTGGGTATGTGTAGCATTAAGCCACAACTCAATATGCGCGGCAGTGTGAGTGTATATCTGTGTGAGCCAGTCGCGTTAGTCGTTTTTTATGAGGTCTCTTGGCGCTTGATTCCGCGGCCCCAAACCGCATTTGAAGTGCCTCCGCAGCAAAAGGAAAAAATATATCATATACATATATATCGCATATATATATATATATATATATATATATACGGTTTGCATAACTCATACATGTGCGGCCATATCCCCATGTATGCCATATAGCTCTAGCCTTTTTAACTTGGTCAATGGGTCGCCGTCAACGAAGCTGAATGTTTCCTCTTTTCACATTATTTATTTTCCTCTTTTTTTGTGCTGCGCTCTGCTCTTTTCTCTGCCTTTTTTCAGTTTTAGCCAGGACGCAGGGAAAAAGACGAAGGCAAATTATTCCTTCTCCTTCAATGATTAAGTTGATGAGGCCGCGGATGACATCAAAAAATGGTCGCTTTGAACATGACACAAATACAAGGCATAAAAGGGACAGATTAAAAAGGAATAAATACACTGCAGTCTGAAAAAAAAAACAAAGAACAAACATCTTTAAGTTAAGATTTCACAAAAGATTTTTGTAGGGTAAACTCGGCTTATTAATAAGTTACTTGAATTCCATGGGAAATCTGTAAGCAATTTTCAAAGTATTTAAGCACTTTTAAAATTGTAGCCTTAATGTAACAAGTTGATGGCCTCCACTTTGGTCTAATTTTATTCACCGATTGCCATTAAAATTAATCTGGCCCGGAAGCCAGCTCAGAGGTCGGAAAATGGTTAAAATGATGGGCAACACCTTGTCCCTGTTGGTCATAATCCCCAAATAGCTTTGAGGTCAGCAATAAACAATTTGCGAGCAATTCCACAAAAATATTGTGGTCAAATGTAGGAAAATGTAGGAAATGTGCCACAAGCCAAAGGGACCCAAAACTCAAAAGACTCGGAAAATTGAAGGGGGGTGGCGGAGGTTTTTTTTTTTTTTGTGAGGGGGAGGGGAAAATGATATCTGTTTTGGGGCTCGCTTTACACCCGCTTTCCCGCCGCTTTCCCTTGACCGGATGCAAATAATGAGGCAGACCACAACAATTACAGCAAACAAACAAACGGAACGCTGCAAAAAATAAATCTGGAAAAAAATAAAAAAGCAATTGCGGCAAAGGAAAGCTGGGAAAACTGGGAAAGCACTTTATGCTCCAGTGTATGTGTGTGACTGTGTGTGTGTGAGTGTGTATGCCAAAGTGAATAATTTCTTTTTAATTTCCACTTAAGTGACTTTTAAATGCTTTACACACAAAAACGAAGAGGGAACTCGTCGAGGGGCGGGAAAAGAAAATAAGTCAAGGTAGGGTGAAAAGGTGGCGAGTGGCGGAAAATGGGGAAAAGCAGGGAAAAGCCAGCCAGACGACACGTCACTTTGACGCCCTCTGGTGCTTAAAATTGGCAGGCAAATGGGATGCACGAAAAGGGGCGTGGCAGGTGTTGAACGGCGAGTGACCCTCTGTTTGATTTCCCCCAAGTCACTTTTCCTATTCAGAGTTTTCCCTTTATCACTTCCGGTTTCCTTAAGACTTCTTGCTGTTTACTTTTTTATTAACCACCAATTAATACAATATTTTAAGCCCCTTGATTATGCTAACCATTTTCTAATGTATTTTTAATTAAAACATTAAGGCAACTCAGCTAGGAAATAAGAAAGATACTTTTTCCTTTTTGAAATACAATAATAACATATTTTCTCAAATTTATTTCCCAGCTTTGTCTCTGACATATTTATTGATATATTTTTATTCAAAGCTCTTCGTCTTATAATTTGTCTACCTCATGTTTCCCATATTTTACGCTACCCTCTTATTTCTCCATGCTGTTTATGTAATTGACTTCATTGCCAACAATCGATTCAAGTACAAAAGCAGCCTTCTTCCTTTGTCCCCATCACTTGGGCTTTCTTGCGTTTTTTTCCCTGTTATTTATGGCTCACGATTTGAAGGCTTTTGAGCAATTTTTGAGTATCGAAATGAATCCCACTTGAGAACACACAAAAAAATTCGTGAATGTGATATGCAAATGGGATCGAAAGTGGTGGTTGAAGTGTGGGATGTGGGAAGGGGGAAACATTGACAGCTGAGTCAGCGGGAAGAACAACAAAGCGAAGAAAATGCTGCATAAACGGCAAAATGATGGGCGAGAAAATGTTTGGGAACTTTGAAAGAGGGGAGAAAACATTTTCATGAGTGTTTACTTATTAATTGTATGACAATTCAATGTTCTTTAAAATACATGTAAATTTCAATCTTAGTAAGAAAATTCTTCAATTTTATAGAAATTTATTTTAAGTTTAAGATTTATAATACCTACTATTTTTAAAAGCAAAAACCGTTGAAAACCAAAACACCTTATAAAAAGAATTTCATTACGTATACGCCCAGTTTACCATAATAATCGCAAATGCCTAATTGAACACATTTCATTTGTTAAAATAGTAACATAAATGTTCTGCAGGCTTAAATGTTTCAGACCTCAAAATCATACTTCTTCGATTAAAAGCAACTATAAAAAAAAAACAAATTACGTATACGCCATGTGCACCAAAAGGGGCAAACAAAGCGCGCCGAAGTGGGCAAACCGAAAACATAAACAAATAATAATAAACAACAATAAAAATTGACTCCTCCTGGCGTTTCTCCTCTGCCACTTTGACCAACACAAATCATGGAAGCAAATCATGCCAAGCACCAAAAACACACACAGACTCCGAGTTCGGAGTCTCGGGGTCGGAGGTCATTTTTACGCTGATGTCTATGACATTATCAGCAGAATTTATTAAATGACAGACACATAAATATATAATATATTAGGCCATAAATATATGGGAAGGCAGGAGAAGGACTTAGATAGCCCCTAGCTGTGCTCTAAATGTCGACCATTAAAATACCCTAGAAAGTGTGTATTTGCAAAGCGTATAAAAGCTGCACTCCATGCCAATTATTATTCCCCGTACATGGACGATAAATAAATTCCTTTGTGCAGGGTATTCAAGGGAAGAAAAAAAAAGAAACAAACCAGACAAGAACAGCAAAAAATACATAAAAACGAATTACAATATTTTAATTTGATGTTATTATTATCGCGCACACATGCTACATATTGCCCCCACTTCTGCATTATTATGTATATATATTTTTTGTTGATATTTTATTTATTTTCTAATGGTTTTCGGGGGAGTGCGAAAATAACGTAAGTGGGAGAACCGCACACACATGTGTTTTTTTTTTTGCCAAGGGTGTGGTTGTACCAGCCAAATTATTGACATCTAAATTAGGAGAATTTGGGGTCTCCGGTTTTCTTTTTTCTATCTGGCTGCTTCGTTTTCGCTTTCATTCTGTTTGATGTTAATGTCTCGATTGGAATTGTTTCTTAAATGCAAATTCAACTTAATTTAAAGCAAACAAGGCGTGAATTGGCTTATGAACTCTTGGGTCTTATTCTTTATTTACTTTACACTTGCAGACACGTTTATATATTTCAAATATTATTGCATTTTTGGCCTCGCTTTATTTTCACTTTAAATTTTTTCAGTTGTAGTATTCCATATTTTTTTGGTAGAATATAAGTATATTTCATATGTTGCAAAATTGCAATGCC